TTCGGAATCACCGTGAAAAACTGCAAGGATGGTATATAATTCATCTGAATTCGGTCCTTCCGTTCTGAATTCTATAAATTTCTTAGATTTGGGATTCACACGAAGAACTTTCCGCTGAAAATTCAAACTTCAAGAGAGAAACCGTGAAAGGTCTGAAAAAACTGCTTCTATAGGTTATCGACGCTGCTCTATGCAATGGAATGGTTTTTCAGTTTAAAAATGTTTTTCAAAGAGTTTTCCACAAATCCGGTCTCTGGAAAACCCGCTGGAAAACTTTGTCGAAACTGGAAAACTATTCCATTGGAAAGAGAATCAGGTTCAGATAATTTCAGTCCACTTATAAAGTTAATGTCCGCCTGCTCTAGCGAAAAATGCGGACTGTGAGGTATACCATTATTTAATGGAGAAACAAAGCCAATAAATGTATTTGTGTTGGTGTGATAGTTTACCTCTGATACAACCCCCGTGCAATCTTCTGAACACCATATTAAATGTGTTCAATAAGTTCAAATGTTCTCGTAATTGATCGAATCTAAAAAACATTCATTTAAATTTATTTCTTGTTGCCTAATTAATTCTGCAATAGTAACTATCGATGGTAATGCATAGAATAGATTGCATTTTATAAAATTATATCCGTTTCTACCACATAATATGAACAATAATACGGAAAATCTTTTAACACAGTCATTGAACCGATAGTTATTTTTTTGTTTCTGTAGATTGTTGCTTATATTTTCAATTAGAGTAAACAGAAAAGGTTTGGGTGAAAGATTTGCATAGGAACTTGTTTTCGAATGTAATGATAACATTAATTTGTATAAATTTTGACTATCGATATTTTGATCATCGACCGTTGTCGTATTTATTGTTATTTGAGTTTGTTATTGTTGTTATTGTTGTTAGTTTCAATAACGTTATTAAATTTTTTATTCGATTTTTTATGCCAATTTTCATCACAAATTTTACATCAAACCGCGTATAACCTACTCTTCGTTTAAAATCTTTCAATTCTTCAACAGTATCATCTAATATAGCTAACGTTTCATCTATTGTGGTAGTAATTAAAACAGCTGCACTTCGAATCGCTTGAAATTTACATATCTCTACTGCATCTTCACCAGCTGTTTCCCGGCGTAATCATAAAATTTATCATTTGAAAACGACAAAACATCATCTGGTAGATCCAGAACCTCGTGAGGTTCAATGAGATTCATAGCGAAAGAGTAACAAATAATCTAAAGAAACGAACGAGCTATGATAGACGAACTGATAAGCGTTGTTTTTAAAAGAAACTAATCGAATCGAATAGTCATAGAAATCCTAATAGTTCGAATATGCTTTCGAAAAGCCTGCTCTTGGTTACTGAACACAAAATAAAAAAATCCACATAAAGTAATGTATGAGAAAAGATATTATGTGACAAACTGTCACAAAAAAATCGACAAAAATAACTGCACAAAATAAAAAGTTCGTCAAAAATGAAGTCTTTTCGTCCAACAAATCGTTTTTTCTACTTCTACTTTTTTGTCACAGCTTACTGTTAACATAATTTTTTTTTCGAATTTTAGCTGAAACATCATTAAATGTTGAAGAGTCATTTGGACGCTTTTTAGTTCTTTCAACACTGGTTGTTGTTGGTTTTGTTGGATTTTTTTTCGTACAGCCAGCTATTCTTTTTGTTGATGACGATAACGAGGCTTTGTTGTTATTACTTGATGTTGCTTCTTTTGTACCTTTCTTGGATGAATTAGCACCATTAACAATTAGACCAAGGGGTGATACTTTCTTTATTAATTTCATCAAAGAAAAAAAAAGAGATAATTATTTTTCGGAAATAACTGAAGTATTGAAAACTACCTTTTTTGATTTTTTCTCCAGTTTTTTTGTGTCTTAAGTTTCTGTTTTCTCTAAAGCATTTTCTTTTTCTTATTTCTTTTCTTTGAGCACTGGACATTTTGTTTTAGTAATATGCTGGTAAAATTTTGATAATTGAAAACCACCACCAAATGTATCAGTAAGTTTTTCAATGTGATCGATGATTCACAACGGCAAGCAACGGCTGCTGACATTGCACCCTTACGACTTGTAATTGTTATTTTGTAATCATCACCATTTGTTAATTTGACATCAGCTTTTTGTGCATTACACCATCGTTCTATTCTATCAACGATTGATAATTCATGCATTTCAGCATTTTTTGTCTGTGGTGCTGTGGGAACTGTTAGTATTGTTGATGAATTCATTATTCTTGATGGCGTATTCGATCCCAAAAGTAAAGTTGGTGGCGTTGAAATTAAAATGCTGATGTAGGTGAACGAGAAGGTGTATGAGTGTCCAATGTGATAGTTAATCTTGTACGTGTTTTGGGCGAGAACGAAGGTGGTAATTGTGGTGTTATTGGCGACAAAGTTGTTGGTGGCAATGGCATTGAAACTAAACTTGTTGGCAACTAGAAATTCAAATATAATGCAAATAAAAAAATATTTGCTCAGCTATGAGAGTGAGTAGGCATGCGCCAATACTAGTCATTATTGAAGACATTGTACAATATTACTGGGTATCCAATTTTATTGGCTCCCAATATTATTGTATACCCAATATATTGGGTCCCCATAATATTGATCACCCAATATTTTGGAACCAATATTATTGGTCACCCATAATACTGTACAATAATATTGGGTAATTCATTTTAGTGTTATCTGTGACAGAAATATAAGCATCTAAAACTGAGCAAAACTGCGAAAAAATAATCGGCTATTGATTATTTTTCTGCGATTTTAGTCCGTTTTCGATTTATCATATTTTCTCTATAAACTTAAAATTTTTCAAATCCGAGCGGAGTTTGTTTATGCGATATTTATACATGGTTGGATAGAGCTCGCCGAGCTAGGTCTGAAAAATTTAACATTTTAAAGTAATGTTTGTGTTCAATTTTAAGATGAATTTGAAGGCAAATGAAATATATCCCATAATAAAGGAATACTCACTGTGGCTTGTGCTTGGAGTGAAGCCGTTGTTAGAATTTGACGTTCGGTGACGACTGCAGTTCTTCTCAATCTTTTCTTTTCTCGTTCAATTGCCGTTCGTTTATCTGTTAATAATTTTAAGATTCTATCAATACCCGTGAATTTCCCGTGACACTCACTGTATGGGGCAGAAAAAAAAAAAAAACTTTTCTTTTTACATATGATCCAGAATGGCAAAAATAAAAACCTTGATTTTTCAATTACCATAGCCTTGTTATTCAAAATAAAGTTTATATTCATGATCTAGATGAAAATCTGAATCTAACTGTATAAAATTCGATTAGTTGCTCTCACATTTTTCTTAGATCTCGGGGCAAAGAACATACTTCTGCGACATCGTTTTCACTTCTTTCCCTTTTGTTTGGTATTCACCAATGGGAAACCAAGATTCAGCAAGTATTCTCAGGACTCTTATTTTCGGCAACTTATTTTCGGCTAAAAGTAGACAACCCTTTCAGTTTGGTTTTAGTTTTCGTTGTTTTAGAACAGTGATTTTGTTTACTTTTCTAATTCCTTTATAATGTCCTCATCTGAGATGATAATGGAAGACGATTCTAGCGAATTATGTGGTCATAAACAAGATAAAACGTTTAATCAGAAAGATGGTCCACCCATACAGGTAAAGTCAAAGAATTGATTTCAAAGACTCGTCTTTTCGAAATTCAAAATAATCATAAACATATTAATTTCTCAGTTTACTTCTGATGCATAAATTGCTCCATGTGCAAAACGCCGTTCAATCGAACCTTTGTTTATAACCATTGCATCTTCCATATCATAGCCCTAGCAGATATAAAATAATTACCAATATTGAATTAGAAGAAGTTAATCTTTCTCATACCGTATAAGAGAGTACAGCAATAATAGCATTTGTTCCCACAGCATAATCATTCAACAAATATTGATTATAAACACTGGTTCGTACAAGTGGAGCTTGAGGAGTTGTGATATAGTAAAGTTTATTATCATTACGACGACGATAAGCTAATGAAGAAGTATCTAACTCTTCTTTTTTTCTTTTGTGTTTTAGGCAATGTGTGATATCACTCGTGCACATGTCGTTTCATTTAATTGGATGTTAAAAGAAGGACTAATGAAAGCAACAGCAGTACGTTGAGATATTTTTTAATTTTTTAGTGTTCGTTAAGAACTAGTATAACTCTCGATGGATCCTCGACGAAACTATGTTTTTATGTTGTTTTGAACTAAACAGTTCTACAAATTGTTTGTTTGATTATTCTAGTGTGTGCAACCGTTAGAATTTGAAACAAGCAATAAATCACGTATCAAAGTTAAATTTGTTGTAATTATATCCATCTCCTAATAAAGGTAGTATTTATCAAACTGGTGAAACTTAGCCAGTACATGAAAAAACATTGTGCGAGGTATGGCAATAGAGAAGTATTGTTCGAGAAAAATTTTGAAGCAAAAGGCATAGAAACTAGTTTGATATATATCTCTTTTTGCAAATATTTGCTTTTAATTGTTACTATTATGTCTTCAATGTCTACTATTCAATTTATGTAGAAGCTCGAAATCTCGAAGCCAAAATCGAAAATAATTGCTGGTGCTAGTCGAACGAATCATGTTGTTTTTCCATTTGAAGTAAGTTCTTCTTTTAATCTGTTTAAACAAAATTCTTCATTGTTCTCATTTTTAGTGTCGTATGGGTAAATGTACATATTCCGGACAATTGAATGCTCGTTTGCAGGCTGAAGTTTATGGTTCGAATGGAAAAACTATTGGAAAAGATATGTACGACAGAAATTTGGAACCCATACCAGTCATGGTGCGAGTAAGTGAGAAAAAGATACCTTTATCAAATCATTAGGAATTAATTTACTATTTCTTCGTCTTAGAGCGATATATGTAATCTGAATAAAATGACAACGTCAGAGTTATGCTCAAAATCAGAAGAACCAAATGAAAGCACTATGAATGTATTTCATTATTCGTTTTGTATTTCTAGCCGATGGCGATGTCTCGTGGCAAATGGAGACAACGTGGACCTGGTTTTACCGATAAAGGAATACAAATTCGTTGTTTAGCTGATGATCAACGAGAAATTGTACATATCTTACTCACTTTCTTAACTTGGTATTTTCTCCCTCTTTTTTTCTTGTAGGAAAATACTCTTCATTATTTGGATACAGGTGCCATCTCGTTTATGCTTCGAAAAGAAATGTATTTTATACCCGTTATTATGATACTCAAAGTAAGGGACAGAACTAAACAAAATGATAGAAACGGTTGCTTTATCTCGTTGATTTATTACAGATGTTAGCTGTAGACAATGCCTCTGATCGTGAAATATATGGATGTTTAATGAGAGGATGTGAAGGGAATAGAGCTTCCGAAGGTAAATGTCAGCCATTTATTATTACGAACTATGTATTATGTTAGCTCGGAAGAATATAAAAACTTACATTCTCGTCGTTCTTAGATGATATAAAAATAAAGCACTTGCTGCAACAACCCTAGTAGCTAGTGCTTTCCGATCAAGTAGAAAGAACACATGTCTAAACAACTAACTTTAATAGAAGTCTGTCTCATCTTTTTTCTTTTGATGTATTTATTGTATTTAGCTCGATCAAATACATGTTTCATCAATTATAGAAGACATTTTGGAGAGAACATCTGTTGCTAAATAAAGATCAAATATTAAACTATGTTGGTTCACATTTTCGTGAAAAGTTAAATCGTTCAGCCTGGCATTTGGATCAAGAAATAGCGAAATATTTATTATTACAATATATCCTCATTCATATCAAAGATAATCAAGCTAAATTTAATCTATTAATATATGTGACATAGATCTTATGAAAGAAGCATATGGCTTTATTCAACTGTATTTTGCTCTGTTTAGATTTATGATTCGTAAACTGTTTGCATATGTTCGAGATGAATGTAAAGCAGAAGATCAAGATTCACCATCGATGCATGAATTACTGTTACCAGGACACGTCTATTTAGCATTATTAACAGTAAGTTTAAAAATTACTGAAACTTTTGTGTTGATCTCTTTAATTTTACTTTGATCTATTTGTTGTTATTCTCTATTTTAGGAACGTCCAGAGTCATAGCTATGGTCATTGCGTGAAAATTTTCTGAAACTAAATAAAAACAAAAATGATGCTATTACTACAAGTATGTAAGTATACTTATCACCTTCTTAAACTTTATCAACTATATTTGCTGTTTGTATTTTTTTCTAGAGCTTCGTTCGTCGATGGATGCTATTGATAAAGATCAAATAGCTAAAGCATTCGAATTTTTTCTAGCCACAGGAAATTTAAATTCAAAAACAAACGTTGGACTCAGACAGGTAAGAAATATTTAATCATTTTAACATGTATATGTCTTTTTTTTGTATTTATTTTAGACAAGTGGTTTTTCAATCACTGCCGAACGTTTAAATATTTTACGTTGTATTTCGTATTTTCGTTCTGTTCATCGTGGTGATGCATTTACTAAAGCAAAAACAACATCAGTGAGAAAATTACATCCCGAAGCATGAGGATTCTTGTGTGCTGTACATACGCCGGATGGATCATTATGTGGACTATTGAATCATTTGTGTATAGCATGTAAAGTGAGTAGTAAAATGATAATATATTATTCAAGCAAAAAGAATGTTATATCATTTTTTTTGTTACATTTATTTTAGATTGCGGATGATTATCCTTCTGATACAAATACTGATCTTCTACATTCATATGGTATGATTTGTCCAGCTAATCCAATTGGAAAACATTTAGTCTCACAAGAGTCGTCGTATGATGTTCTTCTCAATGGCCAAATAATCGGTTATGTGTTAGATAACAAGGTATTACAAATTGTCCAACAATTGCGTCTAGATAAATGTCTCTAGACCTGGCGTACCATCTTATCTTGAAATTGTTCATATACCAAAGACTGGCAAATATACTCTCTATCCTGGTGTCTATCTATTTACAACACCGGCACGAATGATGAGACCAGTGAGAAATTTACAAACAAATACACGAGAATACATTAGCACATTTGAACAAGTCTATTTGGGAATATGTATTACACATTAAGAATTTGTTAATGGAGTAAGTGACTATTAAACATAAACTCAATCAATAGTCGTTTTGTCATGAGTGCTGAGTAACTCTAGTATTTAGTTAGTTTAAATTAAATAATTTTTTTTTCTACATTCAGTATACAACTCATCAATAACTGGATCAGCATAACTTTTTGAGTATAACAGCAAACTTAACACCATTCAGTGAATATAATCAAAGCCCAAGAAATATGTTTTTGAAAGAAATATGTTTTTGATACTGAATCTGTTTCTAAACAGCTTTTGTTATCATAACTTTGTTATTGTTGTTTTTGTTATTTTTATAAGAGAAAGAATGTTTTTGAATAAAAAACGCTGTTTGAAATTGGAATGAACATTAATTGTTAATTCGTTCAAGGATGACTTTGGATTTTATTGGAGAATCGATGATTTCATCTTTGTTTCTTTGTCTATTCCATCACTAGTTGCTCAATGTATTGCTAAAACAAGCAGGTAAGTAACTTTCTAGTTAACATTTGAGTGATGCATGCACCTTTTGCCGTATGAAAATTACGTTAGAGAAATGAAGAATTTAAGTCTCAAAGGAAAACTATAGTTTTGTGAATGGAGTTTATATATTCAGCTTTTGGATGGCACCCGAGGACGACTTATCGGCTTTCTTGCCAATCAGATTGAGCAAAAATAGTTTGGTCACTATAACGACAAACTAAGTTTTATATTTATTTGTAAAGTAGTACTGTCTTTATTCTCCCATACACACAAAACAACTGACTTAAAACAGAAGACACATGAGGGATTGATGGATAGAAAAATCAAGCTGCGTACACGAGCTGCGTTCACGTGCTACGAAGACTAGTAACATGTACATATCCTACCAATTTTATCCATTTACCTTACATGATCTGGGACTGGTAATAATCTTAAATCTTTTGGGTAAATCATCAGTCTTCAGAATATGTCTGTCACAGCCTATGTACAAAAGTGTCCATCTGTCACGCAAGCGTCTTGCGACTCGATGCGTACAAATATATATTAATTAAATTTGTATGATCTTAGACTGACAGCCAGTGGAATATATAGCGATCAGTACAGATTCCACTTATCTATATGAATATACTACTTACTTAGATTCCATTTTAAAAAACAAAGACCATTTAATGTTAAAAATTCGATTTTTTCTAATTTTGAACAAAAACTGTCACGACTAAATAATATTTCTTTACAAATAAAGTTTTTATTTTGTGAAGAAGAACAATCATCACGATCAGCTAAATCTAATAAATGGATTACTATATCTGTTAAATTTGATAAATAACTTTTAACTGATCTTGTTAGAAAATATTCTATATCATAAAATCGATGAATACCTACATGGTGGAAAAAAACTGTAAGAAAAACCGTAAAACCCATAACCATCGAAAGTAAACCGTGTAGAAGAATCATGAAGTAAGAAACTACATTATAAAAACCGTAAAATGCAAAAGTATAAAAGAAAAACTATGGAAGTAAAACCTTAAAGGTTAAAACCATAGAAACAAAATCGTCCACTTTCGAACCATCCAAGGAAAACCCTAAAATAAAATCGTCAGTTTAAGAACTGTGAAATTAAAACCATGAAAAAATGTGATAAAGCTCAAAACTGTAGAAATAAAGTCGTGAACTGACAGTTTGCCACGGGAAAACAATGAAAATAAAAGCGTGAAGAGGAAAACCGTGAAAGAGTTTACATGCTTTTTAGCTGACGGTTTCTCGCCAAGCGTCCCAGGTTCGATTCCTGGAGAAGCTGTTCTTTTTCTCTTCCCTTTCAAAGTAGACGGTTTTACTAGTACAGTTTTACCTAGACGGTTTTCCTAACGCTTTTAAAACCGTCAAAGCAAAACTGTCATATTGGAACCATAGGAAACAAAATCATGAACTAAAACCGTGAAAAAAAACCTGCTAAACTGACTGCGAGAAACCGCGTATAAAAACCGTCATGAATTTTACGGTTGTTTTTTCTCCGTGTATAGAAGAAAAAGAATAAGAAAAAGAAAACCGATTATTAAAAAAGTGTAGGCAGGTACTCTAAAACGGATATTTGCCTATACATTATGCAATGTTGATGTCTGACCATGTGCTCGCTTCCAGTGGATCAATTCAAAAAAGAACTGATGAATTTTTTGCACGAATAGGTCACTTCTGATCTGTATCACGGCATCCTGACTCTTAAAACTGTTGAGAGATACTTATTAGCTCTTGTTGAATGAGATTAAAATCCAGTTTTTCAAATTCTGACAAAAACTAAAATGGCCAATAGAACGAAAATTGTCGAACAATTATCTTTTATTTTCGATTCACTGGATCTCGATACCGAAGGTTCTTGGTCGTCACAGTATGATGCGTGCCCATGGGAAGATAGCCTGAAGTGTCTACTTTCAGAATCTGTATCGCTGTTGGCTCTGGAACTCGATTTTCGTGGTTTTCGAGCAAGTTTTCTAGAAGCCTTGAAAACCAGGGTCTTTAAATAATAACTTTTTTCTAGATACTTAAGCAAGTAAATCTTTTCTGAACACATAGATTTGTAGAACAGACTTTTCTGATCAAAATAAAATGTTGTACAACTCTGTGTGATCTGGCGTTCAAAAATTACAAGCATTTCCTACATGTCCTAAAATAGACCAACGAATGCACAGCATTTTCTCTCAAAACAGATTTTTTCGTTTCGACGTTTTCGTGCGTCCCAGATTTCTCAGCCATTTTAAACGCCAGAAAGTTCGGCTTGGTGTCAAAATGAAGAAAAAAATGAGCTTTACAACTTAACAGATCCGGATTTTATCTTTTTTTAATCCGGATTTTTATTTTTTATCAATTATCTTTTATTTTCGATTCACTGGATCCCGATACCGAAGGTTCTTGATCGTCACAGTATGATGCGTGCAAAAACGAACATTCAAAAAAAACGTTCAAGCAAAAACGAACATTCTCAAGCTCATGCAGACTAGATTAATTATTCACTACTTCTCTATCCATACAGTTTACGTAATGGTCATTACTGATAATATTAACTTCTCAATGGCATACCGGAATCGAATCGCGCTTACGTAAGTAGCACATTCGACCCTTCGGACCGACTGTGCTCCATTTGAAAGTAACGGCGAACGCACATAATAGAGCTCGCTTCGTTCGCCGATTATCAGACTGATAGTGATACAGACTAAAGTAAGAAATAGCTTTTCTCTCACATATTCATCTGCCACAGCCTATGTACAATTGTGTCTAGTGAATGCAAGTATAACAATTAAATTCATATGGACTTGTACCTACGGCATCGAAAATAAACAGACGTAGAAAGAAAGTTAACAGATACATGGCATGTCGTAAAAAATCGGGTTGTAGGTGTTTTCCTCAAATTGAAGAACGATGTTCTCCTTGAAGAAGAACATCAGATTTATAGATAATATATCGGTTTTCTAAAGTCTTCGTGATATTAAAACTCACCGGTTCTACCACTTACCATTTCTCAATCGATTTATCTCATGAAGTATGTATCTGCTGATGATTTTTTGTTGCTAGTCTACCATGATTACCTGACATACTTTATTTTAGTGATGATAAAAAAAAACATGGATTCTTTTATCCTATCAACTCACACTCTCGTCGGTATCCCTCAGAACATATTCTTATCTCATATTATCATGAATGGATACACTACTGTGGATTTTATGTCCGATAAGCTTGTCGATTTTGAACGTCAAACTCGATTTCTCAGCCAAATGTTGGCAAATATTTTCCTAATAATCTTCAAAAAGTCCTCTACTTAGTGTACGACTTCGAACTTTTAATTTTTTAACAATGATCATGCAAATTTTCCAATTTTCTGTACAACGTTGGGTGGCTGAAAAAACATTTTTTTGGAATCATTCACTTGCTTCTTCATTATAGTAGTTTTATATACAGTACCTATAAGTTGAATTGATTTTAAATTTGATAATTTTTGAAATAAATTATTTGAATTTAATATTTTTAAATTATTACATGAATAAAGTTCATTAATACACAATTTCAAAACATTTTCATTAAATATACTCGTTTCTGTATTTTCATTACAAATAGATAAAAATTGTTTTAACGATAAGTTTGATAAATTTAAATTTGTTAAATAATGTTTTTCATATAACAATTGATTTAAACGCAATGAATAATTATAAAATGTATAAATTAGATCACCTGATTTAAAATAGAAAAATAGATTAAATAAAACAAGATCTGGTAAATCATCAAATGAAGATTTTAAATGTATATTCATTGTTTGACTGGGCTATATTCGTTGCCGTTCAAATGTTGTGTTCATCTGTTCAATGACCTAAGTATGAACTTTCAGTTAGAGAGAGGAAACGAATATATCTTTTTCTTGTTTGTTTTTCATCTTAGTCAATGTTACACATATGAAGAGAAAGAGAAAACAGATGATTTAATTAGGGTCGTATGAAATAAGGAATATCTGTATCTTTTCACGTCTTGGCAAATGTTAGCAAATATCTATCGAGAGTGTTCTGATATATCGTGTTCTCCTTTCTATTTGGTAAAGAGGGTGTTCTTCGTTCTTCATCGTCAAAGAAACCAGAACGGAAAATGTCTCGTTCTATTGTGCTAAAGTGTCTTGTTAGATGTAAGGATTGAACATGCGAATATCTGTGATCTCTATTAGAAGTGTATGGACGACTGTAGTGTGAAAAACAAAAACTTCTTTGTTAGTTATCCTATTCATTAGTCCAACTGTCAGATATTTCATATGTGTGTGTAAGTTTACGTGAAAATAAAACCGTGAAAATTCCCTTCACTACCTATATGATCGAAAAATTCGATATCCCAAGATCTTTAGAGTCAATCGGGCTGAAACTTTTGGTACAGCTATCCAATACTCAGGTCTATTTGTGAAAAAGTTTTGGTTGCTCAACACATTAAAGAGTGAAAAAGGAAAAGAATCGGTAAAACATTAGTTTTTATTATGTAGAGAGTAAAAACTCAGTATCTCGACAAGGAAGAACGGTGGGCATAAAATATTTTTAGGTTTTTCGAGTCTCATCGTGTTCTTCATGTAGTAAAAAGATGGGAGCAAAACTGATCCGACAGTTGGGGATCTTTTTTCGTCAGTTCTAAAATTTTTGTGATCTTGAACAAAATATACATTTTTATTTATGAACCCCTAAACTACAATAAATGAAGAGAACTCTTTTTTTGTAAATGTGTGGACAACAGTTTGATGTTTCGAACCCATATACAAGAATTAAAAATCTATTGTAATTTTACAGAGTAGTAATCTAGTTTCCCAAAAAGTAAACGATACGTAACCTTCCGCTCGTGTATCCCAAAGTGCTCCAAAGCCAAGTCTTCCAGTTCGGTATCCCAAAGTGTCATCTTTCAGAATCCATCTCAGTTTGCCAAAAATTCAATGTTTTGGAGATTTTTCAAAAAGATTTCTGAAAGCCCTAAAAATCACCTTTTTTTAAAAGTTTCACATTTCAATTAAAATTTTTAAGGTTGTCCGTTTTAATAGACATGGAGCTATGTTGAGCAGAGTGTTCTGATCAAAATGAGATGTGTCGCAGGTTTGTACGACTTCGTCTTGCAGAGTTATACTAGTTTTACTAAAAGCCCTGAATTATAATATCGCGATTATGACGCGATCCTGTCGCAAACTGTTTAGACAATTCATCGTAAAATCTTCATTTTTTTTAAATTTTAGAGTAGAAGACTGGAAGATATATTGATTGGTTGAAACTCGTTTTTTTTCTTTTTCAACCAATCAATGTATGGTCCAGTCTTCTACTTTTTTCTAAGGGCCTAGCTCCTTGCACTTTGTGAACTGTTGATGCTCGTCCTAATCGTATACAAATATAGCCTGAAGTATCACAAAGCATAAATTTGCATATATAGCTTTATGAATAGTACACAGCTGATGTTGAAGAAGTCTAGACTAGAATTTTGGAGTTTGTTCAGAAGTGATGTGTAGCGATAATATCAGGTCTTCGATAGTTTAAGTTTAGCTTTATGCGAAGAATCGCGAGATGGATTCTTGTCTGAATTCACAAGAAAGTGATTTCCTGGAAGAATCTTGTCTTGTAATTCTTAAAAGAATCTTGCAAACAAAAAGAGTGCATATATATTCCATTTTTCGTCTTCTTTTCTTTTCATATATATACGAACTAGACGCTCTGATGCCAATACAGGCACATATAAAGACTCGACCGTCTCTTGACAAGAATCTTGTGAGATTTAAAAGACTTTTTAAAGACATCTATGTATAGTATTGAGTTATATTATGTAACTTATATACAGCACGGGGATCGACCAAACAAATTGGTGATTTTGTCGTCAACGAAGCTTGCCATTTCAGACAAGAATCTTTAAGGAAAAAAGATGAAAAATCAACTAAAAATGAAACGAAGAATCTTGTCTAATCTATCAAGACAAAATTCAAGATTCTACCCATGAAGTTTTTTCGTTACGTTAATAACGCGGTAAAGTCCGTTTTTTTAGTGGACGATAAAGTGCGTTATTAGCATACTTTTCTTGTTAAAAAAAATTTAAGGCGATGTAACGGATCAAATAATGTATCGCGTTGTTCTACTCTTGAAAAAAATTGTGTTGTGATGAGATAAAAATCAGAATGCCTTACGACGCACTAAAAACATATTCTGTTGCAGCACCCTTCGCTATCTTCTTTCGATAGTTTAATCTCTTTTCAACTAGATTCCATCATGTTTTACTCGGTATTTTCTTCGAGAACATGAAGCAATCAGAGATTTTCTTCTGGAGCACCTTCTTCAAAGTACACAGGAATTTATTTTCTTTGTTTTGAGCTTTGAACTCCATTTCATTTCAGTGTCACAAAGTTGAACTATTATTAATTTGTTTATCTAAAGTGTGATATTGTTTTTGCCGGTGAAAAGTTTCTCAGATGTATTTGTTTAGGTTCTTCATCCATGTATTTTTTAGTCCTTATCCGAATCGTTACTGTCATTTGATCTCAGAATAGAAGTGAGAGGAGCTGTGTTTGAGTTTCACCTGTGAGTTTTGCCAATAAGGTAACGTTTGCAGTATGTGAAGAAAACATTCACGCTCGGACTTTCAGTGAATGTGTATCTGTAGATACATGACACTCGGATCAGTTCGTTGCTAGAGTCAATCTAGCGTCCTGTGACTGAGGTGCTCTGGCTGTGCCGCTATCCTCTGTGCGTCAAACAGGATCGAAATGATCGTTGCTACATTCTGAAAGATTCAAACAGCAAAGCGATCTTACACCGAGGTAACTCACAATTTGTGATAACTCAACCTTTGTATGCATTACTCTCACTGTTGTGCATTTTCATTCTGAGATCTCGACACAGTTGACATATTTAACTGAACCTACACATGGAAGAAGGCTTTAGATTTGATGCATTGCCTGAAGAAGAATACTCTCTTTCGATTCCAAAACTGTCAAGAAGAAAATAGCTCAACTTTGAGACAAAATAACTTCTCTCCGAATGCTCTTCTTCTCTAGATAATTGCGGTGTACTTACAGATGACAATAGTCAAGTAGTTAGCCTAGTGCAATTACAACAGAACTAAATAAATACTGGCAGCTTAGCTTAGCTGGAATTCAAGATATCGAATGTTCAATTGTGTCAGGCATGTAGATGTGTATTTTTGCTAGAAAGAGAAGGAGAGTGATTTTTTCTGTTCGAACACGTGTGTGCGCAACGTGGCAGGGAGAAAAGGTTAACGTATGCAGTAATCTTTTCTTATTCACTCATCTCATTTCAAAAAATGATCCAAGCAGCTGATATTGCATCAATGCTGACTGAGCGAATTTCAGAAAATGAAACCTATCGACCCACGGAAGATGTTCAAGTTAGATATCGGAGGCTTAGTTGTCCACTAATTGAAATTTGATTTTCATAGTAGCTCAAATCATTAGGATAACAGAGAAACGACATTTTGAAAAAGTGAAAAAAATCGCTTTTTTTGACAAAAAGTCAATCATATCTCAGAAACAGAGGGCCATGTGCACGAACGGTTTTAGGGTTTTCTTAGCCTCATCAAGGTCTGTCTGTATCTTCGATCAGGTCGATCAGTGTATCTTTCCGCATTCGTTTGATGAAAATTTTTTCAATTTTCTTTCTGCGCACGTGCTCCTTAGACCGACTGTGGGAGGGGTCCATCTTGTCGTATGTGAGATAAAGATACGGTCTATTGTATTTTGTTATAAGCATAACAAAGAATGCACTCCTCTTTCTTCTCTCTCGTCCAATTTGAAATGGGTTTTTCTATAGTACAACTATCTAGATGGGCGAACTAGAATATTCTTTAGATTTATCAAGTTTTAAGTGTATAAATACAATTGATTTTCCTGCACAAATCATTTTTATGTCTCTTATCGGCAGAAACACAGTATGGTGAAAGTAAGTGAATTTTGGTTATGTATATGTCTGAAGTACTAAAAGAGTGTAATTATGCAATATCAAAAAGCACAACAAAATTTATACGAGCCCCAGTCAAAAGTCCGCCAAAACGGGACTCGTAAAACTTTTGTTATATTTGAGAACCACGACACTGCGAAAACAGAAAATATCACATTTTGTTCAGCTCACTTTTCTCTACAAGACTAGAGACAAGAGTTTCCTTTTGTTCGAGCGCCAAGAGACTCACAAAACAAGTAAAATCGTGACGGAATCACGAAAAGGCGACCGTTACATGGACAGACCGTCATCTTTTTTGTTGAAGAAATATTTCTTCAGTGGAGTCGTAGTCTCATTAGCATATAGTATTCAGCAGAGCACGGATACTTGTACTTCGTACTTGTTATCCGGTATATTTCAAGTCTTTTTTTATTCCTTTTCAAAATTGGTTTATCTAACGCTATACTTAGTCCCATGATGATATTTCAGTGACCTAATACGTGTCAAATCCACACTATCCCATGCAGTATAGCTTAGTCTGATATATCTAACATTACTAGTGTTTTTACATTGGTGGCGCATATATATTCCTCTTATCTTTCACAAAAGATATACAATCATACTTATTAAAGAAATTAAACTGTGGAACTCGAAAATAATTAGTGAGAATTGCATCTGATAGATTGTTGCGGATCATAGTGGAACCTTAAGAAATCCTCTAAACAGCGCTGCAGAATTCTCTATTACATACTGTTAACTTAGACCACCAAATTACAGTAGAGCAAGGTACGAAATGTTGACGAGAAGTAAAAGCCAAAAAGTACTTAAAATGTACCTAAAGTACAAGTACAGGTATTTTTCTGAAACTATACTTATACTTTTAATACAAGTACAAGTAATATTTTTTAAGTATATGTACCTGTCCATGCTCTGGTTCCTATATGCAATATTTTGATTAAATGGTTTTTATTTCTAGTTCATATTTTATTATTTTACTAAAATTGTAGAAAGTCAATTATGAAAATCAATTGTCGGTATTGATAACAACCGGTTGATGTTACATTTGATTTGGTCGTATTGAGACAACAACGAGTTCAAGCCCTAGAGTATAAATGAGATTAGTTCAGGAGAATTCTGAGTTTGACTCATTATTTTTGCTCTACTTGATCTCATATTAAGATTTTGATTGTTGTTTGTCTTCTTTGTTTTGATCATAGGCGAAATGAAAAATGTCAGTTTAAGTTTACCAGAACATTAACCAATTGGTGCTGGTGAATTAAGCATCCGAGGAACTGATGGTATCCGGTTTCCAGCAAAATGGGATGTTATTGTTTATGATAATCGTTATGTATTACTGGTACAAACACCATCATCATCCCATCGTCCCAGTGAATTTCTTGAATTTGTTCTGGCTACAAATGAAAATTTAATGCCAATTGAACGAGGTGTTGTTCCAATTGCAATATACGATAGTTATTTAAAATTCGTTGGCGAATATAAAACTACAAATTCGAAATGGTATGTTTATCGATAAAATAAACTTTTAATAGCATAATTTTCTTGTTATCATTTGTAGATTTAACTGACGTCATTCGATATCCAATAAATGAATATGTCAATTTGTCCGACAAAATCCAACCCCTCACTTCCTCGTAGTGTCGGACGGGCAACGTCAATTTGGCGGCTAAGAGGGGCTCTGGTGAACCGTTCCAGGACTGTTTGGTCGTGCTACAATATCCATTGGTGAAATATCAAGTAAGTAAGTGAAAAGCAAATAACTCTCGCGAATCGTCTGTCCTAGGTATCCGAAATAAAATTCTTCTCCTTTCTTTGTTCAGACCAATGGTAGTTAGCTAGTAGTTCTATATGTTTTTTTTTGATCGAGTGAGAGATCTCGCATGAGCCAGAAAGATTAGACGTGTGCTTTTGCGTTTTGTTGTTACGTGGACGATTTCAAGTTGAAAAGGATAAATCTGCGTTCCGGTCTCTTAAAAATATTTTTTCTGTTGCGATGTCAACGAGAATTCCTATTTCAAATTTTGTCATATTTTTAATAAAGCTCCTTCTACTCTAGGTACTACTTTACGGTGCGTAAAACAGGAAGGACGATTAAAAAAAAATCAGTCAAAATTCTACTTTAGTAAAGGTTTAATTCCTTTCTCTCTCTACAATAGGTAATGGTGGTGGACAACATTATGGTTATCGTACACAAGAAATAGTATTGACCAGTTCCAAAACGTCGTTAAACTGGTGAAGAATTAACAACTGAAATGATGACCGTTAATCAAATAGGATCACAACAACAATCAGGATCAACATTGGTTATTTCGAACCCCATCGCATCTCTCGATAAACCAAGTTGATTTACATTCAATTATCAACAAAATCGATTCAGCAACATCCAGAATCATCGAATACGAATTATGTTTTATTAACAAATGATCGTATTACAACATCGAGTGTATTTCGTATTCAAACAACAATGCAACCACGTGTAGTCAAGCGTGACGAAAATCCATGCACACCACCCCAATGTGGTTATATAATGGCACTTTGGAATTAGTAATGACACATCAAATGGTATCATATTCAATATTATTGGTGTATACATTCAATCCAAATTTTGATATTAATGTTGCTGAATCATATCATTTTGCAGTTAATGGTTTATTCAACATTAATTTAATAATGAATGTAACAACACAACAAATAATGGATGATGAAGATAATGGTAGAAAACATGGTTGATGAAGATGTTTTACCCGTACGTATTGGTAGTGATAATATTAAGGTATCATCAAAAGCAAAAGGTTATAACCGTATGGATTTGGTACTTAATGGTTTATGGGTATACATTTTTCGTTTCATATGAACTGAATGTTGTAAGCTTCTTATAATTCTGTTTTTGTTGTTGCTTTTTAGGATTCAACAGTTGATGTTAATGTTTGTGAATTTGATGCCATGAATCAGGGTTTACCAGTCGATATCACCATTGAACGATTATTAAAATATTACACGGCTTATGAATATGTTCCAATTAAAGGTATGCCAAGATCGACAACAAATGACGAAGATAAAGAAAAAATTAGTGTTCAATCAAGAGGTTTTAATGATGATCATATTGACAAAAATGATTATGTTTTATTTGTTGGTGTGTCACAAGTTCTAGCCTATACACAGCAAGGTTGTAAAATGCAAGGTCAATAACGAACGAAACAACAAGAAAATCAGATTATTGAAGAAGCACGTACAAGTGATGACGACGATGAGAAAAAACAACAAGGTGGTGAATATCGTCCAGTATATGGTACATCGGAACGGTTCCAAAAAGTCATCGTGTGAGTTTGATATCAAAACAAGCATTCGTATTCTTGGTAAGTTTCTTATTCATTTTTGGCTTTTAAATTAGAATTTTTCGATCGAAAAATAGCAGAAGACTTATTGATCGTTGTACGGGGTAGCAGCCAATAGTGGATTTTTTATTGGTTGAGACAGGTAGCGTTTTTATAAACGAAAAAGTTTCTAATTTTTTGACTTGAGGACTTGAGGTGAAAGACTCGATAAACTTGATAAACTGACTCGAGTCACTTTCGAGTCAGTCATGTGCAACTTGGGGTTGTTATGACTGTGTTTATTATATTTGTTATATATCAGAAGAGAGATTTGAGAATATTCTAACGAGTAAGTCGCGTCACATGAGAGGATTGAAGACCTGGGGCCTGTTTCTTAAAAAAACTTCAGTAGAAAATCTGACTTGTCAACAAGTCCAAAATCAAACTCCAAAAAAAAGTCTTTGTCTTTTTTGACTTAAGTAAGATTATCTACTGAAGTTTTTTTAAGAAACAGGCCCCTGTTCTTGGAAAAATGAATTAGGAGTCATTTTCCTCTAGAAAATGTCTCGAAGTGACTCGAGTCAGGTTTTGACGCGGCTCGCACTCGGACCTCGACTCGAAGGCTACTGACTCGGACTCGAAAAACTGGTGACTCGCCCATCTCTGCGTAGCAAATACAGCTTCATCCGTTCTAGACGTCATATATCTTGCATATGTGAATAGTACATACGGTTATTAGTTTGAGACTGAGAAGAATCAAATGTATTTTTATCAACAGTTGTTTTAGGTGCCATGTTAGTACCTTTAATGCCATTCCCTAATAATGTTAGAATCAATCGTACATTAACGTGGATATTAAAACAACAACGTCAAGATGGGCTCATTTGATGAAACGGGTGGATGTTATTAAAATAAATTATCGTTACTATTATTTCAGATCACATTTACACGTCTTCGTGCATTATTACTTATTTACACTTAAAAATGGCTACTAGTCAACCTACATTAATTAGATTTTATGGTGTTGAATCCAATTATTCAAAAGAAGATATATTGGGGCAATTCAATTATTATGCTGGTGAAGAATACCATGAAGATGACTATATCGTGTTAGTCCGTGTAAGTTAATCAAGTTGAAGTGAATACTGCTATTGTTTTTTTGGCTAGAGAGTAGATAGAGAGACATAGACAGAAATTTTATTCTAAGACTGCAGTTTTAGTTCTGAGCATGATGGTTTTGGTCTTTCTAAAAGAGAACTTCTCCGTGATTTAAAATTTGTGCTCTTTTCAAAAATTTTCTCTTTTCCTCAACTTCTTCTCTTTTTTAGGTGGGTTGCAATCAAGTTGAACAGGGATTAATGTTCATCAAACCAGAAATTACCTATAAAGCAAGTGGAAAATTCCAATTCGGTTCTGAAAAATATGGTCAAATATTAGCAACACCTTTTAACATGTTTCAATTGTTATATGTTCGTGGCAAAAATATTCTTGGTCGATCCGTATCATTTAAAGTAGAATTGGTCAATTAGAATTGGTCATCAATCGAAGAAATTTAATTTCAAAAACAAACGTTGGACTCAGACAGGTAAGAAATACTTAATCATTTTAACATGTATATGTCTTTTCTTTGTATTTATTTTAGACAAGTGGTTTTTCAATCACTGCCGAACGTTTAAATATTTTACGTTGTATTTCGTATTTTCGTTCTGTTCATCGTGGTGATGCATTTACTAAAGCAAAAACAACATCAGTGAGAAAATTACATCCCGAAGCATGAGGATTCTTGTGTGCTGTACATACGCCGGATGGATCATTATGTGGACTATTGAATCATTGTATCGAAAATTGGTCATCAGTGAAAGATAAAAAAAGGGGTCCGAGTTTCTTTTTTATTGTAGTTCGTTTTTCTTTTGGTCTCATTGTTTTTGGTCTCATCTTCTATCTCAAATAAAAAATATTTTACTTTATCTGCTTTGCGTTTTTTCATGCAACAAAACAGTTGGGTTTCTGATGCTCGTCATAATGTTCCACTACGCGCTGAAGGCATTGAGTGGACTACTGCTAAAGTTCTTTTCATAGGTAGATGTCTAGTGCAAATGAACGAAACTCTTAGTGGTGATAAAAAAAAACATGGATTCTTTTATCCTATCAACTCACACTCTCGTCGGTATCCCTCAGAACATATTCTTATCTCATATTATCATGAATGGACACACTACTGTGGATTTTATGTCCGATAAGCTTGTCGATTTTGAACGTCAAACTCGATTTCTCAGCCAAATGTTGGCAAATATTTTCCTAATAATCTTCAAAAAGTCCTCTACTTAGTGTACGTTTTCTCAAATTTTAACATTTTGCATTTTTCAATTTTGAACCCCAGAAAAAAGTCTTTTGAA